GATAGTAGATGAAAAGAATGTATCAATTGTGGGACTCTGTATCTCCAGGAGCATGTAGATTTCTGTTAGAAGTTAAAAAAGTAGTGTTTCTTCTGTTGCCTCTATTTATTTGTCTCAAAATGATGTGGTATGGTAAGATCAGAGGACTTCACAGTACTAAGAATACTCAGGATTTAGATGTACAGGGTACTTCTGTATCTAGTAACCATTAGTGGTGGCAAGACAACATGCTCCAAGGCCAGAATCAGACAAGCAACAAAACAAAATGTGTGAAGCCAAACAGCAATATAGCTCCTTATTGGCAGAGTATGATGGTTACAACAGTGAGGTTTCCACAGCTGATGGTTCAAATAATTTAAAGGATTTGGCTAAAAGAAGGCTGAAATGCAAGGTGAGAAGGCTGAAATGCATGTTGTTAAAACAGAGAATGCAGTTCAGTGAGGTGTAAGAAAATTAGATGATTTGGCCAAACTGATAACTTATTCAGGTTATCAAGGAAAACATCTAGAGCATAGATGTCAAACTCGCGGCCCACGACTAATATGTTTGCTGCCCGCGAGCCGCGAGGGAGCACTGAGTGTAAGCTCTCCCTGCACAGTGCCCACAGTGATGCCTAGAGCCGGAATATGATGTCACTCCGGCTCCCGGCATCACTCTGTGGCGCGCGAGGGAGCTGAGCAGGAAGAGCTCAAAATCAATGCTACCTCGCTGCCTGTCCACCCCCCTGCCTGCCTGAATGTACACTTGCCCAGCAGCCCCACTAGACAACAGGTAAGAAATCCACCCAGCTCTCCCAAAGGGTGGATTTAAATTAAAATAATAAAAAGTGTTGGAGGGAAATGTGTTTTTGTGTGTATGGGTGTATGGCTGGCTGTGTGTGTGTGTGTGTGTGTGTGTGTAAATGGCTGTCTGTGTGTATGGCTGTGTGTGTGTGTATATATGGCTGTTTGTGTGCATTGCTGTCTTTGTGTGTGTATGGCTGTCTTTCTGTGTGTGTGTCTGTGTGTATAGCTGTGTGTGTTTGTGTATGGCTGTCTGTGTGTCTGTGTGTGGGCTGTCTGTGTGTATGGCTGTGTGTGTATATATGGCTATCTGTGTGTGCGTGGCTGTCTCTGTGTGTGTCTCTCTGTCAGTGTGTGTGTCTCTCTGTCAGTGTGTGTGTCTCTCTCTGTCAGTGTGTGTCTGTGAGGGAGCCTGTTTGTCAGTCAGTGTGTGTCTGTCAGTGAATGTGTGTGTCTGTGAGTGTTGGAGTGATTCTGTGTATGTCTGTCAGTGAGTGTGTCTCAGTGAGTGTGAATGAGAACAGGGGCAGGGGTTTAGTAGACAGGGGGATTGGGATTTAGTAGACAAGGGAGGACTAAGATTTAGTAGACAAGGGGTACTGGGATTTAGTAGACAAGGGTGGGACTGGGGTTTAGTAGAGGGGGTCGCTGTTTTTTTTAATACTGTACTTTTCAAAATAAACCTACATTTATTTGTTTTTTTATGGCCCACATAAACTTAAACCATGTATATTTGACCCTTGCTAGCCTTTGAGTTTGATATGCTTGATCTAGAGAGTGGGGACCAGGCCCGGACTGGCCATCGGGCATACCGGGCAAATGCAGGTATCACAGGATCTCCCCTGCCAGCCTCTGCTATCCGAGCGCCGGCCCTGTTGTATGCGTTCATGGGCCGGTGGGGAGATCAAGGATCTCCCTCACCGGCCCACAGGCACTGCTGTGCCGGCTGGGGAGGAAGGGAGGGAGGAGAGGACCCGGGGAGCTCTAGCCAGCAGCTCCGCCGGGTTCCTCTTGCGAGGTCTGAGTGTTGCCGCAGTTACCATGGGAATGCTCAGATCTCGCGAGAGTGAACTCTAACCCTGCAGTCTAGAGTTCACTCTCACCACTGAGACCACCAGGGAAGGCAGCATGGCCCCCCCTCCATGGCAGCATGGCTCCCCCCCCCAGGCTAAAGGTAAGAAGGGGGGGGGGGGGAAAAACGTTTTTTTTTTAAATAAAATTTAAAAAAGACATATTTAAATAGACATTCACTCACAGTACACTCAGACACTCACAGCACCCACACAGCACACTCATACACACACGGCACCCTCAGACACACACGGCACCCTCAGACACATACAGCACCCTCATCCATACACAGCACCCTCAGACATACACAGCACCCTCAGACACACACAGCACCCTCATACATACATACATTTTTCTCATGCTAGAGCTCTTCAGTGGGGCTCTGCGCATTGAACCAACATGCTCACTAACAGGAGGCGTGTTTGTCATTAGTCATGACAAAGCACACCCTGTCTGGCCCGCCTCCTTCTCATGGGGGCCGCTGTGATTGAAAAATGCCCGGGCCAAATTTTTTTCCCATCCGGCCCTGGTGGGGACACTGCTAAACCACAGATGGCAGGTATAATTGAATGCAAACATTTGCCTGAAATGGTAAAAAATAAATGTAGGTGACTAAGTAAAAGTAAAAACTAGGGAGAGAAGATAAATTAGAGAAAAAATGTGCAATAAAATGAAAAGAGATGGAAAAATAAGACAAAAGCAGGATGCTGCAGATGTACCAAAATATCACCAGAAAAAAAAATATAGACAAAGTATATTCTCTAAAAACAACACGAAGCAAAACTAAATAAAATGCAGATATGCAAACAATACACAGTCTCCACCCCTAGGAGAAATAAATGCCAGATTAGCTGCAAATGATCAACTTTTGGATATGCTATAATAATTAGCCTTTTAAGATACATGTTATGTTCAAGGCCTATAAATATGTTTTCTTTAGTTGTGCATCGAAATGTAATTATAGTCATAGGGTGTATATACAGTGATGTACACTTGATTTTCTCCTCTAGTAAACCTTTAACAATAAGTTACCTTATGGATCTGCTCCTGCCTCCCTCTTCATATCTAAACTAAGTTGGTTAACTTTAAAGTAAAAGAAATGTCACTGTAAATCAAGTTTTCAAGTACTCAAAAAATGATATTTTATATAGTTTATAATTTTATATTAAGTGCAAATTAGATATGCACAGAACTACTTATAAAATGTCAGTGCCTTTGTTTCATTTCCTTTACTACAGATTGAAATCAATACTTTACAAGTGTTTTAATATGCCCTCTTGAAACATGTTATTAATCTTTCAAGAGAACATAATAGCCTTATTGGTAGTTATGAAGTCTGTGATCTTACCTTAGTGACACGATTGTGTGGGTGTTCAGATCCTGGTGTCCCAGCATAGGGATATTTACTGTACATTAGCAACTGTAGACCCAAGCAGCTGCATGAAAAGGTTCTCATTGTAATTAGGATAATTAAGGGAAACAAAACACACACAGATTTCTTTATTGTGCTTCGAACATATTAATCAACTATGAGCTATGTCTGCACAGCATTCTCCACTTCAAACCTCTTTTTTGCATGGGTGTTCGCAAAATTCTCAGACTTTTGTCATTCCTCTTAATACATATTATAAGCAAATCCTCTGATTAATAGTTACAAGTGGTATTTAATATAAATCTTTCATAGCAAGCATTTGATTAGATTTTGTGTTTTTTCTAAACCATAAATGTAACAGAATTTAGAAAAGTAAATGGATGTAAAATAGAGTTTATTTCAATTTATAATATTAAAGGCTGTGATACTGGCTCAAGCTTTTGATGTGTCATTTTTCAGATGTAATCAATACTGGGACATGGACTGGAATAGGCTCCAACTCACCATCCAAAGTGCCCTCAGACCAGGACAGACAAAACCCAACAAATCAGCAACAAATGAAGAAAAAGGAATGGGGACATAAAAGTGGTTTTAAGGTGGTTTTATTGGAATAGTCCATGCAAGTTTTGGCTTCAAACATAGACTTTCTTGAAGTTTAAGTAAGGATCTGTGTGGAGTAGAAGCGTTGCATGTACTATTCTAATAAATCTGCTTGAAAACAACCTTTATGTGCCCAGTCTGTTTTCTTTACTCGTTACTTTTCAGATGTAATTCCTAACCACAAAATAACTGTTTATCTTTTTGTTAATCACGCTTTAGACCATCTGTCTGATGGCTGAATTGATTGCTACCCACTCTGTAAATGAACATTAAAGATGAAGGACAATGTGAAAATATCCACCTTGTAGGAAGTTTCTGCTCACTCTGAAAGCATTAAGGCCTATGTTCATGTGAATCATTTGGTTAATAGTGAAACAGTTTCTTCTCATAAGTAAAACCCTATGCTTAACTGCTTCCTACAAGGAAAATGTTTCATTATTATTATTATTATTATGATATTTATAGAGCGCCGTCAAATTCCGCAGCGCTTTACAATGGGTGGACGAACAGACATGTAGTTGTAACCAGACAAGTTGGACACACAGGAACAGAGGGGTTGAGGGCACTGCTCAATGAGCTTACATGCTTGAGGGAGTGGGGTAAAATGACACAACAGGTAAGGATAGTATTGTTGCAGTGTAAGCATGCAGAAGCCAAACACAGAAATATTGGACACAGGTCTTCAGAAAGTAACAGGCCTTTATTCACATTACCGATCGGGTCTCAGATGAACTCCTGTTCCAAAAGATCTGAGAGACCAACACATAGTGTACATTCCTTATATAGCACTATAACTCCTCCCATTAATAGCTACACCCACATATACCTTTAACCAATCAATGAGCAGAATATAGACTTGTACATCTAGTCAAACCACATGGCTCATCCAAGACAAAGGAAATAAGTGCAATTTCAGTTCCTGCATTCCTGCACATGCTCAGTACACTGATGACAGTATCCTAGCTACATGTAGCTAACCAACTGACACAACATACACATATGCCACATGGAGATTTTGGCCTACTAAATTTTGACCATGCTGGAATCCCATCACATTCCCCCCTTTGATGCCTCTGATATAACATTATTCCAGATGCATCACCAATCACAGTTTTACCTACATCTCTCAAGTAGCCATTGAACCAAAGTAGACCTTGTAAGCATCTTAAAAACTCCTTCAACATTCTTCATCCTGAATATATTCTCTTCGGGCTAGGGGATCATATCTTCCAGACAGCCATTACATGAGCCGCTGTCTTTCTCTCTATAGTACTCTCTATAATACTACATAGGGACCTTACCACTAGTGGAATTAGACAGGGCAGGAGGAGGCACAAAAAAAAAAATATAATAAATTCTACTCCTCCTACTAATGTCTTAATTCCTCCAAACTGCTCATACCAACTTCCAAACCAACTACTTAGGTTATACCCATTCCAGACCTGAGTAGGTACATGCTCAAATTTAACCATGTGGCTTGTAAGTTCAGCCACTGCCTTCCCTTCATCATCTATGTGCAGACAACAGTTACTTAGATTAAACTTTCCGCATACACCTCCTTCTACTGCTAGTAAGTAATCAAGGGCTAGCCTATTCTGGTATATGGCTGATCACATCTTGGTATTTTGCTTAGCTAGAAGATTAAGCACTTGAGCTGTCTCATTAGTAATAATCTCAACTACCGCCTGTAGTCTAATAATGCGGTTGAGCATATATAATCGGAGTTCTATATCCATAAGTGCCATCTTCTGCCCAAGTAGCAGGTCCATAATAATTAATAATACGTTGAGGGGGCCACTCATTATCTTCCCAGCTACCTATATTCAAGGATGCTCTCTCCCTTTTATGATTTACATCGTAAACCTTAACTCCCAAGGTCTCTCCTGTTTCGATTGGCAACAAGAAGAAGGATGGCTTTGGCATACCTAATACACATGCCCCTTCCCAATCTTGTTGTAACTCCGAATAAGTTTTCTTACCACAAATCCAGTATAAATTTGCTGGGGCTTTCCAACTAGATGTAGCCGATACCTCCTTTAAATGAGTGTAATTGGCAAACGGATTAGTAGGTTCCGAGACATTTGAAGCTGACCACCAAGTAGTATTTTTAGTATTAACATTATAGGCTTTTTGTCCCAAGCAAGTTAGCTCACCTACAGACGTGTTATACATTGTCCCTTTCCTGGCTATACAAACATGACCTATAATGGAGGTTTTCAACCACCATTCCAATTTACTTCTAGTACTTACTTGATGATCAGACTGGAAAGGTATCTGTTGTTCATATGTCTCAGAGCCAGGGTACCATATTTCCTTTGCCTCCCATGGCCACTGGTCTCCCATATTAGTACCTCCACACACATAGCAATTAGTTACATTAAGACTACCTGCAATACCCTCAGCCAAATCAATAAATAGGTTGTTAACATTATGGGGAATTTTATCCTCAATACTCATCTCCTCATAAAAGGAATGAGAAACCTGATGAGTTTGAGTTGCCACTGTCTCAGTTTCAAGACCTACATATATTATTGTTCCTGAATCTACTCCTGTGCCATATATTTGGAACCCAAACAGACCTCCAAACCTGTCAATAAAGTACTGCAGATTGGAAATGGTCATGTGAACGGGGTTACACACATAGTTTTACAGTATGGTGTGGTAGGCAACCTTTGGATAATCATATCTTGATCCACTGTTTTTCCCAGGTTGCCCAACCTACACATGACAAATAGGGGCAGAAGTTAGTCTCTATTTGGGCAATCAGGATCAGTAGATCTTTTACTGGGACATAAGTATTTATCATTAAACCCATAAGTTCGTTCCCATTTAAGATTACCACATACATTCCAAAGTCTTCCACTACCCGAAATCGCCTTACATGCATCAAATAGTAGAATACCCGTGGAATGTATGGTGCTTATCACAGTCCTATTTATTAATGTCCCCTGGGAGTTACTATTCCGAATTACCAACCAAATTGTACGGGGTTGGAAATGGGGATCAAAACATTTAGACTCTCCTGATATTGGCTTGCACACACTATAATCAATATCCAAATATCTACATTTAGATACAGATCCCTTACATTCATACTGTGAGTGCCAGATGAGAGTTTGGGATATTTGGTTACCTGTTTTAGTAGTCTTAATGCAACTATCGCAATTCGGTATGTCTGTACTCCTACCTTCCTGAAAAATCATAAAAATACTAAGACACAATAAAACACATTATTCCTGAAATCCTCATTTTTCTTCGACCGTGCGATGGCCTCTCAGCTTCCCGATTGCGAGGGCTGCAAGGATGTTGTTCTTCTGATCCTCACTTTCCTTCACAGAGATCCCTTCAAGATACTCTGGCTATGACACGTAGGCAGGTGGTCAGGCTTTATTATGGCCGTCAAAACACCTACTTGATGATCTTTGTAGACTTTTAACTAGAATGTCTCGATATCCCCTCGTCACTCCGACTGAGTTGCACGCTTCAACCGGGTCCTGCAAGGATTCTCAGGATCTGGAGTAGCTTGCCAAGAGTCTGCTGCTGGTTTAACCTTAGAATGATGAATCCAAGGAGTCACTTCCGCCACCTTTACAGCTGTTGGGGTAGATAAAAGAACAACATACAAAGGCTAACAGGATACACCCCGAGCTTTAACTCAATATGTATTGGTGGGATATTACGAGCAAGTCCTGGAGGATTATTTTCTTCCCATACTCCTGGAATGTCAAATAAGGATTCATCACTCTTAGGGTTAACACTTGTCACTATGGAATAGAAGCGTCATTCTTCTTCCCTTGGCACCGATATCGCCATTATGCCTGGTAATCCCTTAAACTTCAGAGATGTTAATCCATTAGGTAAAAGGTTATCTGAGCTTAAAGCTTCGATAATAGATCTCGTCCTAAAAGTTGAATCGGACACTCTGGCATATATAGGAACTAATGCTTCACCACATGGCCTCCCAGAATACAAGTGCGACTCTTAAGAACCGGTCTAGCTGCACTTCTCCCAGTAGCTCCTATCACAGTTATAGTCTTCCCCGAAGGCGGAGCCACCATCTTAGTCACCACAGAATGTTCAGCACCTGTGTCGATCATGAAAGAACTTTCTTTCCCCCTATTGCTACATCGACCATAGGCTCCGCTCGACCAAGTGGGATGGAGCCCGGTCGGTATCAATAGTCTTCCATGATAGTGTCAGCCAGACCCACAAAATCTCTATCCTCTCTTTCTCTAGGTCTCTGCGTGGGTGGATAGTATCTGTCTCCTTGAACACTTCCTCTACTATTCCCATCATTCCCTCTAAAACTTCCTCTTACTCTATAACTACCACTATAACCTCCTCGTACCCTTCTCTCTCCTTGTCTATCACCTTCATACTACTCTCTCTGTGGACACTCACTCTTCCAATGTCCCTCCTTTCTACAATACGCACATTAATTCCTACTTAAAGTCCCTTGCTCAGCCTATTCTCGTCTCCTCTATTCACTTCCCTGTCTTTCTACACTTAAGATAGCTACCGCTAGCATATCTGCCTTTTTCCTCATTTTACGTTCTTCCTCCATCTCCCTATTCATATATACTGTATTTGCAATCTCCATTAGCTGTATTATGGACATTCCTGCAAATCCCTCTAATTTCTGTAATTTCCTTTTACTATCACCTTGGGCCTGGCTGACAAATGCTGAGTCTATCATTCAGAAGTTTTCAGGGGCCTCTGGATTAAAGGGAGTATACAACCTATTTGACTCAAGCAGTGTCTAATATGGGACTTCGGCAAGGCTGCCCAATAATAGGTTCCAGTCTAGGAGTAGTAAGATAATTTTATTAGTCAGCATTTGGTGGATGAAAAAACGTTTTTTTTTTTATTTTAAAGTGTTAAACCAAAAACCTACCAGTAGGTGTCACCAGAGGGTAATTGTATCAAAATAATCTTTATGGGTCTAATAAGAAAACTCAACTTTTAATATATTTATACATAAAATAAAACCTTATAGCAATAAATATATTAAAATAGGGTAAGCAATCCTACATCTATCTGTTATAAACAATGTATTATCAATGTAACTCCCGAAGATGGCCAGTAGGTGGCTTAGAGTGCCTCCCTAAAGTCAAATGAAACAAATAGACTTTAATTAATTATGTCCTATTTTATTATTACTTATTTTAATCAATGTCCACCCTGCTAGCTAGGCTTGATTAAATCTTTAGTTCTAAGGTAAATTAAACATTTCAGTTTGTAGTTTAGTAAAAGGGGAGATTTTGGACAAAGCTGGGAGGGGCCCATCCAGTAACTAAAAAAAACAATATACCATTTGATACCATTGATCATTGATTAGGGGGAGGGGTAGTACAGAAATACAAGAGTTTGAAACACAGGAACAGATAGGTATGTGGGTAGGCGGGGACAGTAGAGCAGGGGGAGTGCAAATACTGACTATATACCAGCCAGAAATGGGCGTGGCTAATCTGGCTCTGGAGGATGTTTGGGGGGTTGGTAATCAGATGCCAGGGGGGGGAGGGGATGTCCAAAGCAGTTGTAATTAAGTCCTTAGTTCTGACCACCATATGGCTACATTGTTTCCCATATGACACAGTTTAATTCACCAAGGTTTTTCAACAATCAGTTTCCAACAGTCAATATATAGAAACTGATCATAGAATTCCAGCCTACTAGTTACAGCCACATGTACACTCTGCACTAAATTTAAGTGAAGACTGCTACATGGAGGCCATGCGGCCACCAGGACAAGCTACTCCCTACTTTTTTTTTTTTTTTTTTAAACATACAAGACAAAGCCTTGTGAATCAGAAGATTATTTCAACAGAGCATCTGATTCAAAAAGCTGTACAAATATACACACAGTTTCAACAGTCACACCAATCTCCTTATCACCAGCAACACATTGCGCAGCCACTAGGCCCAAACACACACACAGGATCCTCACATGCTCAACAATATCACGACGTCGCACACACAAAATTAAATCAAAAACCCACCAAAGACTATACACTCATCAATGTAACTATTATTCAAACCATACAACTATCCACGCTATTAATCCATATAAACTAACCGATCACATAACATTTCAACAGATTTCATCTCTACAATTATCTGTACTATAAATCAACTCTTGACTAACCAACTATATCACATTCTAGTAACCTCATCTTTACAGTCAGTGGTTATGGTACAGTTAGTAAGTGGTTATAATACAGTTTTAAAGTCACAGATCAGTTAGTAACAGTTATGGTATTATACATATAACATAAAACAGCAATTGTTAGTAATTTTTACACAATGTCAGTGGTTATGGTACATGTCAGTAGTTATGGTACCGTGCGCTATTTTACAGTTATACACACAATTTACACTCCCACTAGACAGCAGAGCTCTAACTTTCTAGTAGGACATACAAGTTAACCAATTCACCAACTACAATATATTTAACAACATTTACAATAATCCCAACTATTCTAACTGGCCAGCACCTCGAGAGCTTTCGATCT